ACAGCATAAGCTGCAGAACCTGCTAGTTTAGATACATTGAAGCGTCGCGTCAATAGCAATAGAAAGAAAAACAGTGGTATACCTCCCCATTTAAGAACACATTCGAATATTTTACATTGGTTATTATAAAGTTAATACATTTTGTTTTATTGTTGTTTAAGAGCAAATTATTGGCGTTAAACCAATGAACTAATTTCAATATAGCATTACTTACATTTTCAAAATTAATTGACTGCCGTTTGAGTCTGAAAATTAAGGAATGTATCATCTGCAAATATGCTATATCGTGATTATCTTCTACAAGATAATGATTTCTTATATTTACGCGAACACTACACATTGAAATAATACTAGTTTTTACGGATTTTATCGCGTATATTTAACTATAAATACCCGACGTTTCGAGCGCTTTACAGCACCCATTATCACGGGGGGGGGGGGGGGGACTGAGATGTTCAACGTCCAAATGTCATAGTTAACAGCGGTTACCATAGATAAAATTTTAACTTTTGTTCCGAACTAGACAGTATGAACCTATGGTATCTTGAAGTCTTGCAGTTGTATGCTTGGGTTGGGATTTAATTTTATTTATAATAGGATCCCAAGGAGATAGTAGCACCCAGCCATCTTCTCTATTGAAATTAGGATGTTTTTTTGATTTCAATAGCCTCGCGAATCACCCTTGGAAGGAACCGGTGTTCTTTAGCGAGGATTTGTGGTCTATCAAATCTGATGTAGTGACGGGGCGATCCTGTACGTGTTCACAGACTGCAGACTTTCCGGAGCGTCGATTCTTCACATCAGCTATATGTTCTTTAACGCGGGTTTTTATTGACCTTTTTAGTTTGTCCTATGTAGGAGAGACCACATTCACAATCAAGCTTGTACACTCCTGCATCTTGCAGAGGGACATTACACTTGACTGATGGTAAAAACTGACCAATCTTCTTCAGCGGCTTTAAGTATGTTTTGATGGAAGCGCGCTTCAAGATGTAGCCAATCTTGTCAGTGACGCCTCTAACATATGGCAGTACAGCAGGTACACGCTCGACTGTGGCCGGCTTCACTCGTTCACTGTGACGTAGGGGCGGACGTAGGGACGACGGGACCCGAAGCTTGTTGTCATGCAAAACTTGCTTAACATAGTGGAGTTCGGCAGCCAGGTGTTTACTGTCACAGATCCCTCGTGTTCTCTGAAACCAAGATTTACTCACGGTAAGTAACTGTGAAGGATGATGGTGAGATGCCCCCGTGACCATGGATGGTGTAAAGCGCTCGAAACGTCGGGTATTTATAGTTAAATATACGCGATAAAATCCGTAAAAACTAGTATTATTCCTACAAGATAAGTTAAGTCATTAATATAGATTAAGAACAGGAATCGTCCAAGAATCGAGCCTTGAGGAACGCCCATTGATACTACCGAATATGCAGGCAAAATTTCAAAATTTTTTTCGTAAGGGTTACTATATTACTAAAGAATACATGATTGATAATAGCCCCTAGGAAGAGCTGATAGCCGTAGTAGTTCAGAGGCTAAGCGCTCGCTGTGAATTTCACAGTACGTGAGGAACCCGGGTTCCATCCCCACCGGCACCAATGAATTTTTTTTTTTGCAATTTTAAGCGCTGATTTACCACATGCTCGGCGATGAAGGAAAACATCGTGAGGAAACCTGCATATCCGAGTAATAAGAAAGAAGATTATGAAGCCGTGAAGTTCACCAACACGTAATAGGGCAGCGTGGTGAACATTTCTTTGTTCTAAAATCCTCTCATAATGAGAGGTAGGTCTTTGCCCAACAGTGGAAGTACGAGTACTCGTATATAGGCTGTGATGTATATAGACTGATAGAAGTTATTTCTAAACCAGAGATAAAAGTTAGAAATGACTCTTAATAAGAATCACTAATAATCTATCTTATTGAATAAAAATGATTTTATTCTATTTTAATTCTTTTACTCCTACGACCTTTATTACCTACCAACTATAATCCCAGCATGTCGGACCCTCTCTCTTTTTTACCTTTCTATATTGTGTAAAATATAAAAAAGCTTTTTTCTAAGATCGTGGGACCTGTAGGTAGTTACCTACTTTGTACTTTCATCCAATTCTCTCTTGGTATCATTGCTTGAATTTCTTTCAAAATATAACTTATTTACGAATAAGAAAATAAAAAAATATTTCTAATAAGCTTCATTACGTACGCCGCAATCAAACATTCGTTTGAAATATAACAAGAAAAGTTTTACGTAATGATTTCTTAAATTTCTACGGATATAATACAAATATATATGAATACTAGTACAGATTATATAGATTTGTATATGTCGTTATTATCGATGCGTTAACACTTGTAACGTGATGAGTATGAAATAATTAAAATTATAAAAGATTATTTAATTCATTCATTCACTCTTTGGAGCCTATAAAAGTCCACTGCTGGACATACTCGTATTTCTCTCCCAATATCCTCATGAGGGGATATTGTCGTACTTACCGCGCTTAAAGCCGCAGGTTATTTATTATACTGCGTTGTTATGAGGAAAATATTACTACCCATCTTCTCTTTTAATTTCCCTTTGATGCCTTTTGACAACACCTACAGGTTAATACGGGAAATTCTTTTACACTGCCAATACAAAATAATGAAGAATCACATTATGCTTAAAATTTAATATTATTCAATGCATCATACGTTAAACTGATCATTTTAAAATATTAGACAATTGTATATAAATATTTTACTATACAATGTAGTAACTATAATTTAATATATAGTATCAAAATCTTACAGTCAATCATTATGAGCAATTATTTTTGGCCTTAATAATGCTACATAAACACTCCGGCTTCAATGCCACCATAGCCTATTAAATGCCGTATCAATTCTCATTTTCCACAGATCATAAAAACTGAACAAAGAAATAGACATTGACTCATTTTTTATTGAATAAGTGAGACAGACGAGCCCACAGTCGATCTGACGTGATAAGTGGATACCGTGGCCCATAGACATCTATCCTGGATTAAGAATCAAAATACAAATGCGTTTACACCCCTGAAGACTAACTTAGATGATGGACTACAGCAACGCTGATATTCAGCGGAGCACTGGAAAGTGTATAGCTCCCGCGTCACTATCGGAGATTTTTTATCATATCAAAGTCACAAATGAGCTTACAGTCCACCTGATGGTAAGTGGCTAATGTCTTACAGTCTGTAATTAAACTGGTTCTCTATACGCTTCAGACCCAGTCCACCTGATGGTAAGTGGCTACTGCAGACCATAGACAATTGCAACCAACTGCTAACAAAGAATGGTGCTGATGCGTTGCCACCTTTAAAAGATAAGATGAAATGTCTTACAGTCTGTAATTAAACTGGTTCTCTATACGCTTCAGACCCAGTCCACCTGATTGTAAGTGGCTACTGCAGACCATAGACAATTGCAACCAACTGCTAACAAAGAATGGTGCTGATGCGTTGCCACCTTTAAAAGATAAGATGAAATGTCTTACAGTCTGTAATTAAACTGGTTCTCTATACGCTTCAGACCCAGTCCACCTGATAGTAAGTGGCTACTGCAGACCATAGACAATTGCAACCAACTGCTAACAAAGAATGGTGCTGATGCGTTGCCACCTTTAAAAGATAAGATGAAATGTCTTACAGTCTGTAATTAAACTGGTTCTCTATACGCTTCAGACCCAGTCCACCTGATGGTAAGTGGCTACTGCAGACCATAGACAATTGCAACCAACTGCTAACAAAGAATGGTGCTGATGCGTTGCCACCTTTAAAAGATAAGATGAAATGTCTTACAGTCTGTAATTAAACTGGTTCTCTATACGCTTCAGACCCAGTCCACCTGATAGTAAGTGGCTACTGCAGACCATAGACAATTGCAACCAACTGCTAACAAAGAATGGTGCTGATGCGTTGCCACCTTTAAAAGATAAGATGAAATGTCTTACAGTCTGTAGTTAAACTGGTTCTCTATACGCTTCAGACCCCTACAGAGCAGTGTAAGTACAGCTGCTCGGCGGCACAAATAATAAAGAGAGTGGTACTGACCCCAACAGACTCGTGAGCAGAAAAAGATTCGTATCATCTAATATAAAACATATCACATAGTATTTAACGTGGTGGAGCCACTACTATATTATGGTTCCACTAAAGGGTGGGCTCGACCGGAGGGGAACCACAATCTCACAGAGTATCAGCGTAAAGTAGCAGCTTAATGCAGCTGTGTTTCGTATGGTAACTGTATAAAAAGATACCCTTTTTATTGATAACGAGGCATACTATCTTAGTCTTTCTTAATCCAGTATAGATGTAGGTGTCTATGGACCATAGTATGCAATTAGCATCAGGTGAGCTGTGTGCTCGTTTGTCGCCCTAATTTTTTAAGGACCAATTTTTCAATTGTTTGGATAATGTTATCCAGCAAATAAATTATATTCGTAACCTAACTGAATATAAAAGAGCTTTCTGTTTTATATTCAGTCAGTTGAACTATTTCATTTGTACAACTGTATTTTTAAACGTGTTTCCGTTTTATTTTATTTTATGAATACATTTTAAAAAATAATTGAAAAATCAGGCCTGAAATGTCGTAGCCATACTATAACCGGCAATTCAAAACATAAAATATGTCACAGCTATGGATCGCGCACGGTAAATATGTCACGAGGCGGTATTTTCGTTTACGACTGTTAATCTTTTAGGCAACTACGAAAAAAGTTACATACTTAACTGAAATATACTTCAAATCGTGTTAACAAAGTATGAACAGAGTGACGTTTTCATAATCACATTTAACAAAACCAGTGTTAGATTGTAGAAAACAACGTTCGCGGTTTACAAAACAAACAATTATGTAGCCTTCTCGCCCGCTAGCGGACGACTAAAAGAGTTATGGAGAATTGACTGTAACTTAGTGCGCTATGAAGAGCCTGTCTAGTAGTAAACATAGCAGTCTTTAATATATACAGATGTCAGAAATTGTGTGGGTCTACACAAGCGCCGATCTTGCTGTGTGGTACTCGTTGAGCGCCCTTAGCCGCTCGTGCGGTGCGCAGCAAAGGCGCGGCTGCGGGAGTCATGCGGGCGCACGGACTGCACGCGACTCTTGCGCCTCCACCAGCGGCTTCTTCGCGAACCGCACGCGCAACCTCTTTCGCGAGTTGACATTCTGTTTAGGAATTTGGCAAACAATCTACAATGCGATTCAATTAAGAATAAGAACGGCTATGGCCTCTACCTGTCAACTGTCACTTGAAAACAACGGCTTGCAAAGAAAGTTAATTTGCGTATTAATAACATCTGATCCTGAGCCAATCTGCATCTATCGACTTTCGGCACAGATTTTCCTGGAATAGAACTGGTAAGATTCCACCAGTTCATCACTGCATCTAATGAGAAGCCGCCTTACACTTCGCTTACAGGTACGAGGTTGCCAGTAGAGAACCTTTCTTCCTCATTGGTGTACATTAACTTTAGTCTATTACTGACCATTTCTGATACGTTAATGAATGAATGAACTGTCCGAATTCGTGCCAAAAGACAAAATATGTGTCATAGAAAATAAATGAATGAATTATGAGATTTTTCTGTAATTTCCCACATTTGCCTCTTACGACACCCCCCCCCATACGAAATTGCATAGCGGCAATTGGAAATTGATATTACGTATATTAATGCGTTCTTACATTATCCATAGTTATTTCGGCGTCGTTGATATTACGGAATTTGTTTTTATGTGAGTGTAAATCCAGTGTTGCCTGAAGGTAAAAATAAAGTAAAAATAAGTTATTTGTGGGGTTTACTTGTAGTTTTTTATAGTATAGGGTGACCAACGAGCACACAGTTCACCTGATAGTAAGTGGTTGCTGTGGTCCAAGTTCAAAATGATTTTCCTAGAAAGTCCTTATAAAGTTCTACTTTTCAGATTTTTTTCATATTTTCTAAACTTATGGTTCAAAAGTTAGAGGGGGGGGGACACATTGTTTTTTTAATTTTGGAGCGATTATTTCCAAAATTATTGACATTATCAAAAAATGATTTTAGTAAACCCCTATTCATTTTTAAATACCTTTCCAACAATATATCACACGTTAGGGTTGAAATTAAAAAAAATCACTTCCCACTTTACAAATAGGGGGGCTACCCTAATAAAACATTTTTATTTTATTTTTATTTTACCACTTTGTCGGCGTGATTGATACACATATTGGTACTAAATTTCAGTTTTCTAGTGCTAACGTCACAGAGATTAAGCGAGGACGGACAGACGGACAGTCAGACATGGCGAAACTATAAGGGTTCCTAGTTGACTACGGAACCCTAAAAAGGAAGTTAAAAAGTTTGCAAAAGTTAAATTTGTCTTTATAATTTGCCACATATGAGGTGCACCCGTAATCGGTAACTTCATTCGCTTTTCGTTTAAAATCATCATTATCACAGCCCTGCAAATGTCCACTGTTGAACGTAGGTATCAACCAATGATTGCCATAAAGCTTGGTCCTGAGCAACCTGCATCCATCGACTTCCGGCTTCTCCTACCAGGTCGTCACTCCATCTGGTAGGGGCCTTAATAGCTACAGCCAACAGAGTTGTTCGTCGATTGACTTCTCGGTCGAATTTGCGACTTAATTAGTCTGACAAAGACCTTTTTCATTACCTACTCAGTAATTAGGGAGTCTACCGTGTAGTGGTAGTGTAAGAATATCACTTCCCTATATCATCCCGTGGGGTCGTAAGTGCGACAGAGGAAAGCACATGAGAATATTGGCAGCAGAGTTTTTCCAATTACGACTAAAAATGAAAAACTGTGGTTACCAACCCGCTAGCCGAGCGTGGCAACTATTGCAAAGGACTTTTTTGAGGAAATTCATGAGGAAGACCTATGTTAGGCAGTGGATGGTAATTAGGAAGTATGCTAAGCAGATTAACGCGTGTGATATTTTAAATAACAGCCTTTAATCTAAAAGTTTCAAGTATGGGTGCTCCAGGAGTCTGCTTCCCACCTTTTTATACATTTGAAATATATAGGCTGTAAGTTCCTCACTGTAATGAATACATGTATCTTCTTTTTCTGAGAGGGATATGGAGCAATTAGTCCGCGGCACTGCCCTAGCGGACTTCAACCCTCAAAATAGTTTATTTCCAGGTACCTTCACCGCCGAGCACGTGGTAAATCAGCAAATAAAATTGTAATTGACTATTTCTTTGATGCTGCCGGACATCGAAGATCGAACACAGGTTGCTTACATACCACGGTGTATTTGGTCTGGTACTGAATCTCAAATGTTAAGCGTAGGAATAATAGCAAACCCAATCTAATATAGTAGATATAGAAATCATGCAGTGGACTGCTACGGCTAACAAAGAATATGTAATTTAAAGTTAAGTTTTACCACACGGCCATGACGGCATACGGCAGCCAGCAGAATGCAAACACGGTGACGATGATGACGGTCATGCGTAGAGTACGGCGTTTTGCTTGCTCCAGCAACCGGTGGTCAGAACGCCGCAAGCGGACGCCAGAATTGCTCTAATTTTTGTGCAGTTTTCTAGAAAATAATGCATTGGTTAGTTTATTTAAAAAAAAAACTTAAGTGACAAAGTAACTTACAGTCCACCTGATTGTAAGCGACTTCCACAGTTCATACACCACCAGCAGCCATCTAATAAAGAGGCTACAGTATCATCACTGAAATGGAATGCTTCAAGGTCTGTACATAGCTTAAGAAGAACATACAGTCAGTCATCGCGTTTAATGTTGTCGGAAAAGCCGACATAAACAATAATTGCTAGGGTTGTCGAAACGGAAAGTAATAAAAAAATTGAAAATAAATAATTTTATTTTGCGGTTAAAGAAATTAAATAACTTAATCAGACAATTTGTGTTCACAAATAATAAACATACTAGGTTATAATAAGCAGAGTTTAAAAAAAATGTATAAATTTGTCAACTGTCAATTATTTATAACGTATTTTTGGGTAATAGCAACTTATTAAACATTATATTTTTTATTAAAATACATATTAAAATGTAAGTTTTTTACAGCACATGGAGTGTGAACCATTTTAATTTATTTGCGTGACAGGACAACCCTAGTGGACAGTTCCCGAGCAAGTAACAGCCACTCGGGAACTTTCCACTCGCATCTTCTCTAGGTCACCGCGCACGTTGGCCCGGTCTAGACGTCTTAGAAGACAGACTGTTAGTAGTAGTTAGACTATGTTGTAATTATACAGGCTAGTTTTTTTACCTCTACATTTATTTCCTGGAACACTTTTCTGCCTAGATGTTTGTGACTGTGTGGTATCACCCTCTTACTTCTGTTGCCACAGCGCGTGCACTACTGTATACTGACCTGGAGGGTATAGAGTCAGGAAAATTACTGGTTATGAGGCATTCCATCTTAGTTCTCAGAGGTGGCAATGCATATTTAGCCTTCTTTGTTTTTAAGTTGTACATGGGCTGCAATACCAAGTGAAATATCGTTTGTCAATTCATTCTTATATAAAAGATCCTAATTTTTAACTATACGAGTAAAAACAAATCAGCACATAGTACTTAGAGCCACAAAGAAAGATCTGTGTGGTGAGTGACATGGAAACCATGTTCAGTTTCTTGATACGCACTCACGCACACATCGCACTTCCTTTTTTCTTTGACATCCCGTAAATGCACATTGCTGGACGCATACTTAAGCACCTAACACCGTATTGTTCATTGCAAATGATTTTAGATAAACGTGTGTGTGTGGTTGCTTGTTCTTAATTATTATTTGGTTTTTTGCTTGGTTTTGACTTCACTCGAAATAAACTCGGCACTTCGTCTTTCTTTGACAATCTGAGACGTAGAATAAATAAATGTCATGAGATATGGTCCAAGACGATAGGATTTTATACTCAATCATGGAGGCTTTTTACATACGAACATATATAAATTGTACGCATTCAGTTCCGGAACAATTATTTGTAGGTAATACAAACCAAGTTCCTTTAGATATTCAAACCAGTAGCCCTGCAGCATTACAACCACAACCAAACGTCACCGAGTAGCAGAGCAAACCGAGCAATACTTGCATAGCAGTGCAAGTATTGCTATTTGCCGGTAGAAATAGATAAAATTGTAATTGGGTTGTACCTATCCAGATGGGCCCCTAGGTAGAAAGTCTCACCATCAACTTTGAAGTTCAATTATCGTTATTTAATTTAAATGAATTTTATGAAGTTAAATTGTTTATTTTTATTTGATTTCTCATTATTTTTCTATATTTCTGTGTCGACTTTAGAATTTTTTAATTTAGTTTCCGAAGTTTTAACCTCAATACAACAGCTGTTGATAAATGAAAGCTAAATTTAATAATAACGAATTGCTCTTTGTAGATGTCTAACTTTTGAAACCTTTTACACCGTCGTTTATTTCCGTTTTGTATTTTTGCTATAATATTAAAAAAATACCGAAACAAATAGAGCCGATGATTTGCAAATAGCTAAATAGATTTTATTGATACATAGCCAAGAAGACTTTCGATTAAGACACCTTTAAAATAACAACTTAATCAAAATCGGTTCCTCCGTGCAGGAGCTATCATGTTACAGACACATACATACAGATATAAACACTTAAAACGTGTATCTATCCTCTGTTTTCGTTGGGTATTAAAAACTATAATAAATTGGAACAAACATCGTGTAATTGAGCCAGGCTTACTGTCACTAGGAGGCTAAAATATTAAATACATTTCTCAAATTTAGGAATACGTGCTCCACATTTAAGTAAATACAGTAATTTGTGACAGTCCTTCATTATCCCTATAGCACAGGCACAAAGGTTAAAGAGGCAAATTATTATTTGCAGATATAATAATTTCGGCAACATCATTACCGTCCGCCATTTTGGGTAAATAACTATCAGAACAATTTATTGATACACAAAACTATTTCTACGCGAATGCTACACAATAAACACATTCTCTCCTGTATTTTGAACTGATAAGTAATTAGAACCAGTATAATTAAAGGTTTTGAGGTATTTCATCTTAGTACTCAGTGGTGAGAACGTATACGTAGCCTTCTTTGATTCATGTTGGTTGCAGGTTTGTCACGGGGTTCAAACAATATTTGATATAAAAAAACTCTGAATTACCATCGAGCTCGTTGCTACAGCGTCGAATCCTCCAGAAGATGCAGATGTAACATACGGATATGATCAGAAGGGGCAAAAAATACGTGCGCACAAACAAGCCACGTTGTACGCTATCTTCTGCACCATGTTTGTGAACGCGCCGAATGATACGCACTGTTCGAAATCTGTTACTAGCGGATGCTGCATCACTCGGAACACCAAGCTCTGTCACAGGGGAATAGTTGAGTAATTTTACATAAACATATGTTTTATTTATTTATTTTGTCCAAACCTGTAATTATATATATATATATATATATATATATATATATATATATATATATATATATATATATATATATATATATATATATATTTGAATGTATGTTTTACACGATATCTTCATAAATTTGACGTTGTTAGGCAAAATTGATTCCGCCCACAAAAAACGTTTTTGAGTTACTGTCCTTTCTTGTCTTCATATCAACTTTCGTGTATGCAAAAAATTTCCAAGCCGCTAAGTAACTCTTTTAATAAAACCTACAGGCGGTAATGATACCAACAGAAAGTAAAGCGTTTTCGCAGAGTTCAAATGGAACCATGAACACAAAGTGTTATGGTAACCTAGATAATGGGTTTTAAAAGATCCAAACTACTTTGGATCCGTATGTTAAATCATTATTGGTAATGATTTCTTATATTTACGCGAACACTACACATTGAAATAATACTAGTTTTTACGGAATTTATCGCGTGTATTTAACTTTTTAATTACCCGACGTTTCGAACGCTTTACAGCACTCATGGTCACGGGCAGGACTGAGATGTTCAACGTCCATATGTCATAGTTAACCGCGGTTACCATAGATTAAAATTTAACTTTTGTTCCGATCTAGGCAGTATGAACTTATGGTATCTTGAAGTCTTGCAGTTGTATGCTTGAGTTAGGATTTAATTTTATTTATTATAGGATCCCAAGCAGATGGTAGCACCCAGCCATCTTCTCTATTGAAATTAGGATGTTTTTTGATTTCAATAGCCTCGCGAATCATCCTTGAAAGGAATCGGTGTTCTTTTGCGAGGATTTGCGGTCTATCAAATCTGATGTAGTGACGGGGGCGATCCTGTACGTGTTCACAGACTGCAGACTTCCCGGAACATCGATTCTTCACATCAGCTATATGTTCTTTAACGCGGGTTTTTATTGAACTTTTAGTTTGTCCTATGTAGGAGAGACCACATTCACAATCAAGCTTGTACACTCCTGCATCTTGCAGAGGGACATTACACTTGACTGATGGTAAAAACTGACCAATCTTCTTCGGTGGCTTGAAGTATGTTTTGATGGAAGCGCGCTTCAAGATGTAGCCAATCTTGTCAGTGACTCCTCTAACATATGGCAGTGCAGCAGGTACACGCTCGACTGTGGCCGGCTTCACTCGTTCACTGTGACGTAGGCGCGGGACTCGAAGCTTGTTGTCATGCAAAACTTGCTTGACATGGTGGAGCTCTGCAGCCAGGTGTTTACTGTCACAAATCCCTCGTGCTCTCTGAAACAAAGATTTACCCACGGTAGCTAACTGTGAAGGATGGTGGTGAGAATCACCGTTTAAATATCTATCTGTATGGGTCTTTTTTCTATACACAGTATGGCTCAAGGTGTTATCAGGATTCCGAATTACTAACACATCTAGAAAAGCTAAGGAATTGTTTGCCTCTAACTCCACTGTGAACTGAATTTTAGAATTTATAGAGTTAAGATGGTCTAAAAATGCAGTTACTTTATCTAAAGGTAGAATTGTGAAAGTATCGTTTACGTACCGCTTGTAGAATCTTGGATTTATGAGTGAACTAAACAGGGCTTTCTCCTCAAAGTCTTCCATGAATATGTCGGCGACAATGGGAGATACAGGTGAGCCCATCGCCACACCATCTACTTGCTTGTAGAACTCCTCCTTCCACAATAGGTAGCCAGATGTAAGGCAGTGTCTGAGTAATACTGCATATTCTACGGGCATGTTGTTTTCTTCCAGCCTTCTAGTTACAATTGAGATGCAGTCTTCAACAGGTTTTTGACGATTATATAAAGCTTGCCATTTTTTAATGTAAAATTATTCCTAAATTCAACAACATGTTTACTTCAAAAAGTGCATAATATTTTATGTTACGTTTTGCATACAAAATCACTTATCCTAATAGACATGTTCAAATTACTTTTTATTATAAATAGGTGTTTTCCAGTGAATTGCAGTATGACAAAGCAAGCATATTGTATACATTTCGAAAAGGCCTAACCGATTATCAATTAACCGAACCCGTAATTTTTTTATTTAATAAAAGAGTCCAGTATAACACAAAGAAGTCAAATATTATTAACATAATTTGAAAATTACATGTTTCCTCATCATAGTCATGAGATACAAGAGTTTCTGAACAAAACGAAACGGAGGTACACAGACACCTGATGAAATTTTGTTATGTATTAGATTCGAATTTTGGTTTGATTATTATATAATAGATAATTTTTGTCAATAGAAATAAATTAATATATTAGGTAGGTACATAAATAGTTGAATTTCGATAAAAATTAAATATAATGCATATTAGGTACGTCCTAATAATTGAATATAATGAGGGTATAATTGTAAATTGGTAAATTGACCGAAAAAGTTTGTTATTGAGGTACAGTTATACTATAAAGTCTAACACTGGTTGGTTAAATAACTAGTGTTAAACTTTTACTTTTAATTTTCTTAATTTAAAAATTAAATCCCTCAGGAATATTTATATGAACTTGGCCTTGGCCATCAATAGAAGGATCAAATTCTGGTATAACATTAAAATTTACCGTTATATTATTAGTCCACATTTGTCCTCTCATAAGAGTAACAGGAACAGCCATTGAGCTGCTTGTCAAACCTGAAGTAACTGGTGGTTCCATAACATAAGATAGAGACTGAGGGTTCACACTTGTAACGTTATGAGACATATCATTTAAGTTAATCCTTATCTGTGGTGATACTGTTCGAACCCTGGTCAACGGCGGAGTTCTTATTCAAACGCTTCTTTTAGGATTTCTACCTCGTGATCGATGGTCATCACCATGTCGAGATTTATGATGATCGTGGTGTCGACAACAGGTTGATGGGGACCGTTTATGTTTTTGCCTACAATGGCGTGTTTGCTTACTACGACGATCAGAAGTATTAGAGCTTATAAGAATTGATCTTGATGATGAATCGATGTTGATGAGCTTCCATAACGTTTACGAGCGTGATTACGTCGCTTACGTGTAAGTTTATAACCAACCGACAAACCCAAAAATTTAATTGTTAAAAATTAAGGGTATTTTTCACTTGTGTCTACTAAACGGTAACAAATTAAAGGAAGAGAAATATTTGTAGTTACAAATATTATTATTATAATCTTATGATACCTTAGATATTATGATAGCAAAAATATTGCAATTTCACTTAGAAATTATATTTAAGCAATCTTAGTAAAAAGGATTAAATTTATCTTATTCTAATCGAATTGTTTCAATCACGCCTAATAGTATTTTTTTTCACTTAGTCAAATCTTATTCACTGTACTGTACTATGTCAAACTGTATACACTATATGTGGCAGCTCGAAGATTAAAACAGGTTGCCAATTATGAGATTAACACAGACACAGGATGAATTCACATACAAATTTACTACGAATTATTAAAGAGGAATAAAAGCCACTGACTCTCTGATTGGTTCATAGTAAACTCACTTTAGTAGTGTTCTTTGCGTATACTCCAAATCGACTCCCGTAAGCTCATGGCCATACCCTTATTCGATATCATGGCATCATACGTTACGGCTGGCTCAGGACGGTATCGAATTTGATACCAAATACTGCCCTATGAAAAAAAAATTTTTTTGTTTTAAACAAAACTAAAGAAAATATGCAATGAATAATACAGTAAAAGACAAAGATTGTTTCTCAGAAAAAAAAAAGAAATCACTGAACTTTCGGCGTTCCACGTGTCGCATTGCAGAAGGTGCTCAGTCTTTTTTTTATAGAATTTTATATTAGTATTTGACTAAAAACGAAAGTATTATACTTTTTTGTATTCCTTGTAATATAGTAAACACTTTGATATATAATTTGTGACATAAAAAGTGAAAAGTAAGTGCCAAAAGTACTTCGAAATCGAGAAGGCCCATTTTGGCGGTTGGGTCAAAAATGTGTTATTTTTCCAATTTTCATTTATTTTTAGTGTAAAATGTAACTAAAAAATAGTTTTATAACATATTTCAAATAACTTGACGTTGTATTTATTTCAAATTCACACAAAAATATATTTGAAATATTTTTGGAAATGTCATACAGATAAATATTTTTTTTAAATATTTTGGTATGAGTAACTAATAGAAACACATAAAACATAAAAATATACATATTTCTATCTAAACATTTTCATATAAATTTCTCCAAAAACAAAAGTGTAGAATTCAGATTAGTAGTAATTTTGGCACTAAAAGTGAAGTATATACTACTACTATGCTATAAAGGGTAATTTATGAATTTTATTACAATTTCTAGCAACCAAAAATAATTTTATTTGATAGTTTATACATTCAACAAGAATTTCTGTTAGTTTTATCCATAAATATTGTCTCAAAGTGAAAATATAGCAAATTTTGCAAGTTAGCAAAAAATTTGCAATTCCCGCCATTCGCGTCGCGAGCAAACAGGTCTAACCTGTTTGCTGTTCTTTCTGAGCTAGCGGGCTTGCGATTACGTGTGGGTTGTTTCATCCCACTTCTGAATTTGTTAGCTTTTCTCCAGTAAAGTCACGACAACTCACTTAGTTAACTGTTTAATCACTATATTCGTTGTTTAATTTCACTCTTAAATTGTATATAACACACTATACTTTACTTTCACAAAGAAGACTATATATATATATTAATTTAACTTTACTTACAACCTTAGAAATCACCTTATCTCACAATAGACTTGACTATTATAACCTTCTCAGCACCACTGTTCGTAATCAACTGCCGGGAGCGTTTTTTTTTTTTGCGCCCGAAGCAAATATGGGCAACCCTCCGGAAAGCGGGGCCCTCCCCCGCTTTCCGGTTGAGAATGCTCATAGCATACCACACAGCCGGCTGCATGGTTATGTGGTGACTCTTACCCACTAAACTCAACCTTTTAGGAATTGGCTTAACGATCTGACTAGAGATCTCTAAGCCGTATACGAACGCGACCCTCCTTGGCAGAAAGGAGGGCGCAAGCGGTGAAAAGCCGCTTAGAAGAGTGCCTTCTTAAGGCAGATTAAGGGATGTGTTATGTAGGCTCGGCCTGAGCCGCCAGAAGGCAGTTCAGGTCAGCCGAAAGCTTGTTGGGGGGGGTCCGAGAGAGAGTTTCTCGGTCTGCGCACACTATAGCGAGTGTGGATAGGGGCTGCATAGGCAGCTGTCTCACGAATGAGATGATTTGGG